TCTCTAAAGGGTTAGAGGTAGATAATATTGATATTTGGAATTGTGCCATTCAATAAGGAATTGGGCAAAGTTAGAATATTTCAGAATGATTGGAGTTAGATAATAAAATAAAAGTCTCATGAAAAAAGCTTTTAATAAACAAGTTTATAAAGGACTTTTTCGGTATCGTCTTAGTGATGGCAAGTTTGATACTTCAAAGCTGGGTTAGCAAAAAAAAAAATAATAGTATGTATATAATGAAATAATTTATCAATAATAGAACTGTTTTGAAAACAAATGTTACATACAATCAACAATTCAGATAATTTGGTTTAAATCAATCATTTTATTTATTAATGCCTATAAAAAATTAAATATTAATTAAATAAAATTTTGATAAAATATAAAAATAAAAATCTATTCTTCTTCGCTTTCACTCTCGACAGTTTTAAGCCATTGAATGAAAGGTTCCATTTGTTTTAAGAACGAGGTTTTTCCTTGATTTTTTGCACCTTTTTCATTCCAATATAAGATTGCATTTTCTGACACAACGTCCTCGTCATACAAGATTTGAACTATTTTACGGAAATGTTTCATTAGTTTTGTGTTCTCGTAGCAATAAGTTTGGATTTTTTGCAAAAGAGCAAGTTCAGTCTTTGGATTATTGGCAAATTCTGAAATAATACTTGAGCATTGCTAATAAGTGAAAAAAATGATTTTAAGCGTATTATTAATATATGTTTTTTTATATGATTCTAAAATATAATAATCATATAAACTCACTTTAACTTGATTTGCAGCTTGAGTTCCAATTTGTTCTGGACGAGTGCTCCAATCAACAGCCTGTAACAATGATTCCCACACGATTTGAACAAAATCACTTTCTTGCCAACCACCATTTTTCATTTGTTGTTTAAGATAAGTAATGACCTATAATAATTAAAAAATAGCAACAACCAGACATAATTAGAATTCGGGACATTTTAAATCAAGCATAATAAATATATTTAATATATGTGTGTGTGTACCTCTGCATTGGTACTGGATGAATCCATCATTTCCTTAACATGTTCAATAGTTTGATCTTTCATTGAATTCTTTAATCGTTGATTATAAAAATCAACAAATTGTTTCATGTCCTCCGCCTCAAAATAGCGAGCAAAATATTCTTTGTCTCTTTTGTTTGGCGGGAAAAAATCTATAAGCTTGGAGTCAATTCCAGCTTTTTTAAGGGAGCTACCAAGATGTTCCATGTTTTGTTCGCCAAGATAAGCTTTGAAGACTGTGGTGATAAATTGAAGGGAATGTCCTATATAATAGGATTACATGCATAAATATATTTACACGATAAAGTTAAATAAAAAATAATCTTATATGTATTGATTTATTTGTATTCACCTTCTTTCACAAGATGCTCACTGAATAAAGCATTCAAAACGTTTATACTAATCAATTGACCAGAGGCAAACAAACCAATTGCAGTGGCAAGTTTGTTGTTTTCTTCAGTACTCCATTTGTTAATATACTGAAGCATATTCTTGATTTTATCTTCAAAAATATGCTGCAAATATAAATAACGTCTAATTAACTTATTGAAAACTTCAACATGCTTTTTAATATTTTCAATATTATCTTCTGCATAGAAAATAGAGAATGGGCTTTTAGGTGCTCCATCATCTAATATAGTACCTCCAGGCGCTAAAAATAAAGAATTGATAAGAAAAATTATTAAAATAATATTAACAACAGGAGAAGCAAGAAGAGGAAGAGTAACGGGTATGTTTAATCTTTCGCTAAAGTCAGCAAAGTCATTACAAAATTTATTATTTTGTTATTTTTTGCTTACCTAATACACCACCAAGCAAAAGAATTTCAAATAAAGTTTCTCCGTACTTTTTATACTCTAGGGTATTACCGGCAGAATCTAATTGTAAAGAGATTTCATCAAAATCTCCTGGTTTAACGTTTAAAAGAATTTTTATAATATTATCTCTAAAGACTGTTGTAAAAAAAAAAAAAGATTGAAATTATAAATTAATAAAATTAAAGACATTTATCAAATTGAAAGATTAGCTGAGGCCTCACCGGTTGGTTCGTGTTTGGCTTGTGCTTTTTGCTGACCCTTATTGATACAATACAAATTATATAGTTATTAGACTTTACACTTCGCTTTATATAACGATAATTCGCAAATAACTAGTAAATACCTTTCTTTGTTTGATCTTAACACCATGCAAAGAAGGCTTTGGGCTTCCGTTTTGTGTTGCACTCATTAAAAGTTAACAAGTTTTTGTATTGGTTTATTTTTATTTAATGTGTGAGATGATATAAAATTACTCTTGGTTTTTTTTTTTTTTTAAATAATTTAACAAAAAATAAATGGAATATATAAATAATTTTTTAAATTTTATTTATGTTAAAATTATTATTATTAATATTAATATGCAAGTTGGTGATCGATAAACAAATAATAATATATGTATAATAAATATTCTGATGAAGAAGAAGTTGACTTTATGCCCAATCTAAACTTCTTTGATCAGCCTTTTCCCATTGTTCAAATTTAATTTGAGCCTCTTCATTGGAGAAAAGATGGTATGGCCTTTGGTATTAACATTTTTCAAATCATCTAAAGAGTTCCAAATTTTAACAGCAAAACCAGCAGCAATAGCAGCACCAAGTGCTGTTGTTTCTCTCATAGCAGGACAATTAACCTCAATATTAAGAATGTCTGATTGAATTTGCATACAAAATATCAGAATTTGTCATTCTGCCATCAACTTTGAGAGAAGTTAAAGGATGACCAGAATCTTTGTTCATAGCTATACATGCAGCCCAAAGTATTTTAACACTGTCATAAAGGAGGTTACAAGTGTAGTAAAGGGGTGTTACACTTATGTTTTTAATAGTGGGTGCCATAATTAATTTCTACTTTCTACCATCAAAATTGGAATAATTTTGACCATTGAAATCACCAAACCAATTTGGAGCCTGGAAACATGCAGCCTCTAGAGTTGCTCATGCAATATGACATTTGTCAGTGTATTGAATCATACCAACAATACAGCAACATGCATCATCATGCCAATAAGGAGTGAATAGGCCAGAAAATGCAGTGACAAAATAAACACCACCAGTATTTTTTACTGAAGCAGCCAACGTATTAATCTCAGATGTCTCATTAATGATCTTTAAATTATCTCTGACCCATTTAATAGAGAACCAGCCACAGCAATTGAACCTTCTAAAACATAGATGGCATCCTGACTACCAAATTTATAACCAACTGTTGTGAGGAGTCCTGATTCAGAAATGACAGGATCTTTACCACTATTGAATAACATAAAGCATCCTGTTCCATAAGTACTTTTAACATCACCATGTGTAAAACACTTTTGTCCAACTAAAGCAAGCTTGTTGATCACCTAAAACCCCAGCAATTGGAATTCCCTCTAATTCTTTGATTGTCTTAATAGTTCCATAAATTTCAGATGAGGAACATATTTTCGGGAGACAGCTACTTTTCATTTGAAAGAAATCCAAGGATTCTTTACTCCATTCCAATGTCTTAATGTTCATAAACATATTATTAATGATTTAGAGTTTTTCAAAATCCAAAATCTACCAATTGCTTTGTTTGTATCAAATAGATTAGAATGATTATAATCTTTTTTATTATATAGTTCTCAAAATCCCTATACTAGTCAGGAAATTCACAATCATTTTTCTTCAATGTAATGTACCCTTCTTGTATTAATATTTCAAAGAAGCATTTACATTGGCATATCAAAAATTCAAAAAGCATATTGATAACCATAATGCTTTACCTCCTTTTAAAGCTTTGATCCTCAGTATATTTACTCACAACAATCATGTAGAAAAATATTCTGAACTTGCAAATCCAAATGATACATTATTACATGAATGGGCATTTATTCTGGAAGTTTTGAAGATGATTCAGATCTAGATTTGTTTTGGAAAGAGTTAGTAAAAGTTTACCATTTATCAAAGGTGGTTTTAGATTACATATAGTTGCTAATTTCAGGAGTTGATGTGGAAAGAAGTTTTTTCATTTATAAAAATATTTTAGTTGATAAATGTCATGCATGCACTTTCAAAAGATTCAATCGTTCCATTAAATTTTTATGTTTTAATGTAAATAAATAAATTAGATATTTTTGCATAATTCATGCAATAATTTAAGTTTTTGTGCTCTTCTCCTTAATAAAATTAATCACATCTACCATCCTTTGGACCATCTTTCCATCTCTCATCAATTTTACTACAATCAAATAATGCCTTGCCTAATCTATCATTAACAATATTATGCATATCACATAACCATCCTCCTAATGCACATTTACTCTCAACTTTTGGTGGATACTTTTTCATCTCATCTCTTAAATGTTCTGCACAATACCAACATGGATAGAATTCGGAAAATGTTGTCAGGAAGGAGTTCATTGATTTTTGTTGTGAATATGATGGTACTTCTGGATAATAAGCTGCCATTGTATGTAAAAATGTCCATGTTGATCTGCCTAATTCTTCTGAATCTGGTGGACAATCTTTTGGTAAACCATTCAATGATGATGACGAAAATGATGAAGGTGGTGGTTGTGATGGATTAGATGATGATGATAATGATGGTTTCTCATCATTTTGGTGTTGCTTTTGTTTCTTTTTTTCCTGTTTAGTCCAATTCTTGAATTTTGTACATACTCTACATGGCTTGCCATCTTTATTCAACATTATTCCATTTTTGCTTTTATTATTATTACTGTTGTTACTATTATTAATAATATAATTATTGTTATTACTACTGTTGTTGTTTGTGGCTTCCAGTTCTGTTATATCTTGATGTTGCAACGGAAGTAATTCTGTCATATTTAAAGAGAAAAAACAATATATAAATGTGTTACAAAATAATTTTTTTCATGTGAAATATGTAAGAAACCTTGCAGCTAGCATTCCACAAACGCAATTTCAATTCTTTTTCTTTGTTATTGATATCGAAAAACATGACAAAAATAAGTTTAAAAGCAACAACTTTGGATGCTCTTCGAAATTCTAAAAATACTGTGTTTAGTATGTTTTTGGAACCAATTTATAAAGCGCTTCACACACTACAAGACTTGACTTATGAGAGATCTGCATTACCATATTCTCCTCACGAGCAAATGCTTCATTTACCACCATACATCCATACCCATCACGAAATCCCATTTTCTTTCTCCACTTCACCAATATTAAGCAGCCTAAAAGAGCATTTCATATATTACCAAACATGGCAACTACCAATCACCATTACAAAAAAAAAACGAAATGTTGACATATTCTTTATCCATGGTCTGAATGATTATGGAGGTAGATTTTCTGAATTTAGTAAACAAATCTTGGAAAAAGGATTTCGAGTGATATCAATTGATTTGCCGAATTTTGGAAGATCAAGTGGACTACATTCGTATATAGAAGGTTGGCAATCATTGGTTGAGGCAATTTATTTGGTTATTAATCATGTTCAAGGACAAAACTTGACAGAGAATGTTGATGAGGAGGAAGAAGTAGTAAAATTGAGAAGAAATCGTAAAATTATTTTGGTAGGTGGGTCACTTGGTGGAATGATTATTTTTTGTTATGCTATAAGATATCCAGAAACATTTGATTCATTTGTGATAATGGCTCCTTTAATTCATGTGCATGGTCAAAGTAGGCCTAGTAAATTTACTTGAATATCTGGAAAAATTTCTTGTTAAAACACCTTTTGGGCGTCTGCCACTTGCTAAAGCTCATCATGGTAAAAGTAGTAGTGATCCATTACATGATTTTGTAATTATAATATTTTATTTGTTTATATTTGGATTAATTTTTTTAATAGGAAAATATTAATTGATTAATAAATATAATATGTATATATAAATCTAATAAATAGGTATTTTTATCAGATCCACAAACTTATCATGGAAATTTATGATGTGCAACAGGTTTGTCATTATTGTCAGGTACTGAATGGTTACAATCAAATCTTGAAGAGATACATAAACCATTTTTTAACATTACATGGAACAAACGATCGTGTTTGTCATATGAGAGGATCAAAAGAATTGATTTCACAATCTCAAACTCCTGAAGATCAAAAATTCATAATCTTGTATGCTATGTTGCGAGATCTTGGTAGCAGTAAGAAAGTTATGAGAGATATGATTGATTGGTTTGTAAAAAGAGATGTTGGTTAGGTTAATTAAATTAAGATGATTTTATAACTGGAGGGAGAGGGGGTTTTTTTTGAAAACTGAAGCATTTGAAATATATAATTTGTATATTAAATTACATACACATAGATGTAATCATGCATGGAAAATTTGTACAATTATTATGTATGATATAGAGACATTTTATTTATTAAATTTGTTATAAGAATTTGTAAAAGTAGAAAATTAGCATTAAAAAAAAAGATAAACTTTTGAAGGAAATTATCTATGATCCAACTAATATGACTCTGGAAATTACATAATAGATTATCCTTTTTTCTGTATATCTTATATAATTCACCAGCATAATATTTATTATGAAAATATTTAGAATGTCATCACCAATATACAGCCTTCCTAGCAAAATCAAATCTTCCACCATTTTAAGGTGTAATATAAATAGCATATATGAGACACAACAAGCAGAAAGGGACCCATTGGTATTTTGAGTTGATTATTTGCCTTTAAGAACATTGTTAGCTTAGAAATCGTCCACTTGATAAAATTTTGTGGTATAAAATGTAAAACATTGACTATGGCAACCAGTTTTAATATGACACTTTATATTTGATGACTCATGGTCTCGCATCTATTTCAATGTGAAAACACCAGGTTGCTAGGTGACAACAGTGGTTGGTGGAACAGGTGAAAGTTTGAGTGCAAGACTGGATGCTTATGATTTGGTGTAAAAAATTGGCCACACGATCTGGTGTTTGACCAGCATCCATTTTTCATTTGGGTAAAATGATATTTTGAAGCAAGTTGACAATCCTAAAGATGTAAAGTTTAGAAATTCCAGAAGCTGACACAAAAGTAAATTGCCGTTAGTTCATGGGAAAGGACTTTTCAACTGTAAGTTTGTGGAATGGAACATTCTAACGTTCCTTATATTAATTAAACATGTGTAAGAATTTTATAAAACCATGGCTCTTGTATATGTTGTATTTTAATCTCAATAAAACTTGTTATAGTATGATATGTTTGTATTAAAACCATGATCTAAATAATTCTTTTGACCATAAATAGATGTCCTTTGGGTAAAGGTTATAACCTCCTCCGCTTTATCAATATTTATTACTTTTTTGAATCATACTAGTAAATATGATGTGATCTATATATTGCATCAACTTCAACAGACCTTTTAAAAACTTTTCTTGATTTAGATAATCAGAATTATAACTATTCCGATAATAATTAAATGGTTAAATAAAAATAAAAATAAATGTTTCGCAAATTCACCCTTGAATTGTTACTCCAGTAACACTAATTTCCAGTACAGCTTCTATACATTTTTGTTGAATTGTGAATCCAAAGTGCTCAATAAGATATTTTTTTTTGTTAATTGTTTTTATATATGTGATCACAAAAGGATTTACCTAATTTCTGACATTTATTTTAGAAATATTAACTTCCTGGGATTTTTTTTTTGAATTTTATGTATATTTGAATTGTTGTTCATATTTGAATTTAAAAGATCTGATAAAAAATTTAGAAACAATCTGTAATAATGTTTTTCATATCAATTAACGAAGATAATATTCAATAAATGATTTAAATGTTCCTTTATGCATTTCCTGATGCTTGTCTCCAATATTGATTGCTTTTAGTTTCTGAGTAAGTATATCGAACAAGCATGTTAAAGTACTAGCGGATGGTCTTTTTATTATATCCACTAAAGTTTAAAAAAAAAATAATAATTAAAAAAATGAATAATAAATCAAAACAACGAAATTAAACGCCTTGCGTATGAATTTAGTACTATTTATTCCAATAACGAATTAGTTTTTTTTAAAAAAAAAAGTGACTTGTATATGACGAATAACATCTTGTAAATTCATTTGCAATATATATCCAATGCCGTGTCCAACTGACAAATTGTTGGACATTGGACAATGTCCAATATGTACAATACCAACTCTGGATTTGAATGTCCTTTTATTATTTCCATTCCGCTCATATATATATACAAGACATACAAAAGTGTAGTCTTTTCATTATTCTACATGGGTGTACGGATATTATATATCTTAAAAAGATTTCAAAAGGTAGCTGCACTAAAAGACTTATTCTTATTCATTTATGATTGATTTATTTAATAGACGGCTTGTGTAGAATGGTATTTATAATTCTTTGTATCTGGCAATAATACATTGATAATAACAGAAGGTGACTCCAGCGAAGCATTTGCCTTGGCAGGACTTGATGTTGTTGGTTGAGTTTCATCTTCCAGATAGTTATCTTCTAAGTCTATTAAATCTCATTTTGATTTCTGAAAAATCTTTAATTGCTAATGCAATATATATATAAAACTTTGAGAATTACACAAAGAACATGCTTGCTTAACTTTATGGATGATTTATTCAGGAAAATACTTCCCATACTTTCGTTTTCATTTTCTTGGTAATTGCAAATGACTCTAAAAAATAAAATAAAATTCAGACAAATTCATGAATAGATTACAATAATGAGAGGAAATACATTATTTTTTAAATAAAATAATAAATATGACTTATCAAATTTTCTTTTTTCGTGATAAAACCAAAACGTGATCAACAAAAAATATACAAACATCTGCTATGCTAAATTTTTCTACAAATTAGACTTAAGATTCTTGTTTCAACCAAGAATAACCATTTATTAATCCATTAATAGGGATCACATTATCTAATTAATGATTTCAATTGAGGCGAATCTGGTAAGTCTCTAATATATTTAATTTGTGGAGGAGGTGTAGCACAATAAGATCGGCATTCATAATTATCAGCTAACCTCTTTACATGTTTCTGAAAAATAAAAGTGCGATGAAATTGTTAGATAAAATTTTACATACACAGTGAAACTCGATTCAGCGGATTTTGATTTAGCGGATTTAAGGGTTTAACGGATAAAATTTCGGAACAAAATTTTTTTATAGTTATTAGTCGCATGACATTTCCCGCCGATCTATAGGAGGTTGTAAAACATAGTAAAATTTGGATGATCTGCATCATAGTAA